TAATGTGAAAATTATTCACAAGATTTTTGCTAGAAGGTGAATTTTTGAGTATAAAAAGAAGACTTAGATATTGAAAAGGAATTTTTGGGAGGTAAATTATGAGAATTTTGAAGGTCTTACTAGAGTTCTTTTTATTAAAAGAGTTGTTTGTGAATTTCTTATGAACTAAAAAGGTAGAAATTAAAAGAAGATTTATCAAATTTGATATTTGAGGTTATTGGAGTATTTTTGAGAAGATTTATGGCAAAAGTTCTAATTTGAGCTAGTTTGGAAGCTGCTAAGTGCACGAAAATGCTAATGAACCCTCCAAAAACCCAAACAAATCTTCAAACAATTAAATAAAATTCTTTCCAATCCATAAAAATCAAAACTCTTTAAACAACACAACTTTATCATTAAAAAATCTCAATTTTCATCGCATCATAAAACTTTCATAGACGAGAGTTCATTTACAATTATGAATAATTAGATAAATGCATCACTTCGTAGCAATTGCCGATGTTTATTTACTCTTCAAGTCATTCAATATGTTTCAATGTTCTTTATAAATGAGTCATAAATGCTAGAATAAAAATTTATGTTTTGTAAATAAGAATAATTTGAATGAGAATAAAAAGTGTTTGGATGAACATTCAACATTGTACTTGAAACGGAAGAGAAAGGGGTCGGCGATGTTGCGGGGATTTTGTCAGAATTTTTTGGGTTTTAGGTGCCTTCACACTAGCCTTTTGCTGTTCAGGTGCATTCACACTAGCCTTTTATGATTCAGGTGCCTTTACATTAGGATTTTGTGGTTCAGGTGCATGCACACTAGTTTTTTAGAAGTTTAGCTGCCTTCACACTAGCCATTCATTGTTCAGGTACCTTCACACTAGCTTTTTGGCGTTCAGATGCTTTCACATTAACCTTTTGTGGGTCAGGGGCATTCATACTAGCCTTTTGGGGTTCAGATGTCTTCACATTTGATCTCTGGGGTTCAAGTGGCTTCACACTATTTTTTTTAAGTTCAGGTACCTTTTACACTTGCTTTTTACGGTTCAGGTGCCTTCAAACTAATATCTTAAGGTTCAGATGTCTTCAAACTAGCTTTTTAGGGGTTCAGGTTCCTTCAGATTAACTATTTTGGGTTTTCAAGTGCATTCACACTAGCTTTTTGAGGTTCAGGTGCCTTCACACTAGCTTTTTAAGGTTTATGTGCCTTCATGTTAGCTTAATGAGTTTCAAATACCTTCACAATTGCTCTTTGGAGTTCAGGTGGTATCACGTTAGCTTTTTGAGCTTAAGGTGCCTTCACACTAGCTTTTAAATATTCTGGTGCCATTACACTAGATTTTTAGGGTTCAGGTGTCTTTAAACTAGCTTTTCAATGTTCAAGTGTCTTCATGCTAGCCTTTTGAGGTCAAAATGTCTTTATGCTAGCTTTTTGAGGTACAGGCGACTTCACAATACCTTTTTAATGTTCAGGTGCATTCCCACTAGGTTTTTGTTGCTCAAATTCCTTAACAATAGCTATTTTATATTATAGTGCCTCACACTAGCTTCAAAAATTCTGACAAAATTTCTACACGACTATTGAACCATAGCCGCTTGTTTATGAATAATAAAAATGAAACAAACTAAGAAAATTTTCATATGGAAGCAATTCTTTCTCCTCTTCTTCTTATTTTTCCTAACCCAGCGCATATTTCATCAACGATTAACAGAATTTCTTTCTTTAATGTTTACAAACAATTTTTTTTTTATAATTTCATTTCCACTTCTTCGTCTTCATTTGCTTATTCGTCTTTTAAATATTTTCATGTCGTCATAAATTATAAAATTAATTTTATTTAACAATAAATTAATGAATGAATGAAAGATTGTTTACAGTTATGATGCATGTTCATTTTACGCACTTTATGGACTCAATGGGTTTAGCTTTGTGAGCATAATTTTCATGATTTATGTCTCTTGTTTTGAAACCGCAAAGTCATGCACATTTTAAGAATTCTTGAAGATGGACATTGTGATTGTTAACGGTTTTTTTGGCATGTGTGGTTAAGGGTCATCAATGGAATTGTGGCTACAAAAAAAATCAAAATTCAGAATATTCATGTTCAGGTGCCTTCACACTAATTTTATTTTATTCGGGTGCCTTCACACTAGCTTCATTTTATTCAGGTGCCTTCACATCAGCTTCATTTTATTCAAGTGCATTCACATTAGCTTCATTTTATTCAGGTGCCTTCACATTAGCTTCATTTTATTCAGGTGCCTTCACACTAGCTTCATTTTATTCAGGTGCATTCACACTAGCTTCATTTTTATTCGGGTGCCTTCACATTAGCTTTGTTTTATTCAAGTGCTTTCACACTAGATTCCTTTTTTAGGGACCGTCACATTAGCTTCATTTTATTTGGGTGCCTTCACACTAGCTTCATTTTATTCAGGTGCCTTTACATTAGATATGTTTTTTTTAAGCTTTTGAATTCAGTTGCCTTCTCACTAGCATTTTTATGTTCAGCTGCCTTTACAGTAGATTTTGTTGTTGAGGTGCCTTCACACGACAGTTCATAATCTTTACACTAGAGTTTGAACTTATTCATTACCAATATCATCTAAAATTCGACTCCAAAATCAAGTCATTTCCTATTAACTTGCATCAATTCACAGCCAAAACCTCAACTTCACCTTGCATGCCTTTGACACCGATCATTCAATTGGAATCTTCCAAACATTTAAAAACATTCATCACACGACATCATCAAAATAATGTAAAAAAATAGCGCCGCAGGCAATTAATTTAAAAAAAATTAAACAAATTACATTGCAAAGTCGGAAAAAAAATATCATTTTGGTAGACAATGAGAAACGAGCTCTGATGTGACTGACGAGACACACGGTTTAATCGCATGAGCATGCCAAAAGTTATATTGAGTGGATAAAGAAACTCAAACAGCATTTAGTGGCAGCGATTTTATTTCATTTTTTCTTGTAAATAATTGAAGTCACGCAAGCTTAGAGTTGATGTTAATAAAGATTCCATAAGCTTAAATGGTTTTATCATGGAATGGATGAGTGGATAAGTAGCTGATGGGAGACATAAGGTTGATTTGGGGTTAGAATTTCTAATTTAAGGCACCTGAACTTCAAAAAAGAGTGTGAGTGCACTTGTGCCTCAATAAGCTAATGTGAAAGCACACGAAGCTGAAAAAAATTAGTGTAAAGGCACCTGAACCTTAAAAAGTTAATGTGAAGGCACCTGGACCTGATAGAAGTTAATGTGAAGCACCTGAACTTCAAAAAAGCTAGAGTGAAGGCACCTGAACTTTTAATGAGCTAGTGTGAATGCACCATGATCTTAAAAGTCAAGTGTGAATGCACCATAATCTTAAAAAACTAGTTTGAAAACACGTAAACCTGAGCAAACTAGTTAAAATCACCTGAACTATTAATAAGCTAGTGTGAAGGCACCATAATCTTAAAAAGCTAATGTGAAGGCATATGAAACTTATAAAGCTAGTGTGAAAGCATCTGAATCATTAATAAGCTAGTATGAAGGCACTATAATCTTAAAGACTATTTTAAAGGCACCATAATCTAAAAATGTAATGTGAAGGCACCTGAACCAATAAAAAATAGTGTGAAGGCACCTGAACCATTAGAAACTAGTGTGAAGGCACCACAATCTTAAAAGGCTAGTGTGAAGACACCTTGATCTTGAAAGGCTAATGTGATGGCATCCGAATTTTATAAAGCTAGTGTGGAAGCACCTGAACCGTTGAAAGCTAGTGTGCAGGCACCTGCATCTAAATAAACCACAGCTTTAAGACCGTTGAATCAAAATTACAGACAAAACATTTATCTCTGATGGATTCTATTAAAATAACTGATTCAATCCTCAATGTGACCCACAAATGATGCAACAACCTTCATCAACTAAATTCTCATGTCAATTTGATTCCCCAAATCAAAAAATTTTCTAGAAATAATTGACAATAATAAAATAAATTCTTGATCCTATTCAAACTCTAATATTCTTTATTAACCTCTAAAAAGGTACATCCTTGTTGCAGGTCAACAAAAGGTTGCATTTAAATGATCGTGTGCAGCGTCCAGCCTACAAAAAAAAATTTATTACACAATTATTATTATGTCATTAGTTGAAACAGACTCGATTTAATAATTTTTGTTTTTGTTTCTATTTCTCATGTAAATGGATGTAAAAAGGTTACATAAAAGTCATTTAAAAATCATCAGATAATTGATAGGTTTGAACCAGAATTCATCATCATCTCGTCTGCCTTGTAATGGACTGTTGTGGATCAAATGGTTTATTGTGTTTTTAGCGCATTTTTGAAACTTGTTTCGAAAATGAAGCTTGATAATTCACTTTGTTCGTTCGTTCGGGCGGGAAAAAACTTTTTAACTGGACATCGTAGAGAGTTCTAGTTTGTTCTGTTAGCTCAGGTCCATTGTTTTAGTTTACAAAATAATAAGATAATCAAATACTGATCGCCAACAATGCGCTTAAGTCCTTCGATCAATAACACGAGGACTTCTGTAATTTTTTCGAGGAGTTATTGGATGTAATTATGAGGTTTTTTGGGGGGTTTATATCAGTGATGTTCAACCCATGTACCGTGGGACATTAGAAAAATCATAAAATTTCACGTACCGTAGGCCGTGTGCGGTTTTGGTCATGGCTTTCGACCAAGGTGTGCTGTGGTACACAAAAAAGGTTGCACTCCACTGGTTTAGATTTAGTTTTGAACGGTTTTTATGATTTGATCCCGAATGTCGACTGTTAAAGCATTTCTAGCTTAGAACAAAATAAACATTCAACTGATCATATTTACAGCTCCAATAGTGCTTATCATTCCAATGTTTAATGAGTTTTGCACTAATTAACGAACATGTCGAGCGATAGATTCGATTTGATATCAAAACTGTGTCTAAATCAATTGTTTGGTTCATTATGGAACTAGATGCAATAAGGTTGGATCATTTAAGCTACAACAATGTCCAGAAACATTGTTCTTTATTCTGCATTTCTTCTAATAATCCCAATTGGATTAATCCATGCAAAAGTCATGGCAGTCATCGGTGAAAGTAAGCTATAAATTCTAATTCAATTCAAATCTTAATAAATTAACCTTAACAGGGATCTATGAATGCGAGGACGTCCCAAAAGATCAACTAATCAAAGCTGTAGACTTTTCTAACCTAAAAATTCATCAAGAAAATGACACTCACACTTATATTAATGGAAGTATGACGTTCCTGTATGGATTTACTCGACTTCCTGGCCGAATTTATATTGAACAATATGTACGTGGCAAATGGGTTATTCAGCTTTTTGATCGAAAGTATATGGACATGTGCTTCACATTTCATAATCCAGCCGAACCTTTCTACAATCAAACTAATCATTTTCCAAGCTGTCCTGTAAAGGCTGGAGTAAGCAGAACCTTTATTCTGAATTTCTATAATTTTTATTATTTTTTGATAAATTCCAGACTGACTGGAAATTCGACATGGTTCATATAAAAGGAAGTGATAGGCTTAAAGAAAATTTTCCATCGTATTGGACTGGATTGTGGCGTATGGCATTCATTTTGGAGTTTCAAGTTGATGGAGAGTACAAGAAAAATTGTAGAAAAGTTCATGCTGACATTTACGAAATTTAATTCGTTTATTGAGTCTGATTTGAGACTTAGAATAGCTTTTTTACGAATTTTATTTAAAAATAGAGTTTGCGAAGCTGTCTAGAGCAGTGATGGTCAACCATTGTGCCGTGGCAGACTAGCATACCATGAAAAAATTCGGAAAATTCTACAAACCGTATGCTGTGTATGGATTTGGTCTAATCTGATCAACAAGGTGTGCCGTGCCACAAAAAAGGTTGAACAACACTGGTCTAGAGATCTAAAATCACAAAAAAGCTGGCGAAATCACATAAATCTGCATCACAACTTAAGGTTCGTTAACTTATGACGTCCAACATTTAGGGGGGTGGGGGAGGGGAGGGGAGATGGGGGTCAGGAAATTTGTGACATCCAATTTTTTAATCAGGAAATTTTAATTTTTTTGCGTCGTGGATTGAATGTCACAAGGGGAGGGGGGGGGGGGGGGTGAGCGTTTTGTGACAGAGGGGAGAAAGGGGTCTAACAAATAGATTTTATGCTGGACGTCATTAGTGAACGGCCCCTTATTAATCTTCAATAATACAATTTATCAATCAAAAACCAACCAATCATTAAAATATTCAATTTCTAACCTCAAATTCCCATTTAATTACCTAAAAATCCCTCCAAAAACCTCAATAATCTCTTATTAAACTAATTACAAACTTTATCAATCCACGACGAACAATAGAAAGCCTTTGAAATTTCCTTCAATTTTTTATTCCCGCTTTTTGTTCATTCCTTTCAATTCTTTTGTGTAAAACAGAAGCAATAATCACAGATATCATAGAAATGTACAGCAGCCAAAAGGCAATAACAACGGCGAGGGCATTGAATAGATAACAATTGGGATCGAATAAGAAGCGAGACGTGAACGTTTAATTAAATTTCTTTCGAGTTTTTTTTACACCATCATCATCATTTTAGGAATCAGCGTCATTGCTGCGTTGGCCAGTAATGGATGATGTAATGAGTAAGAATAGATGAAAAAGTTGGGGAGTGACTTGATAACTTGTTGGGTATAGAGCGCATTTAAAAGAGTGTTGAATGAATTTTAATTTTGTGCGCTGTATTTTGCGTGTGTGAAAATTTCATACAAAATTTTGTGTGCGTTATATTCTTAGAAACAGTTTACTGTCTCCTCTGAAATTAGCGCATAGATCTCAATTTGACCCCTGAAAAGATAACGCCTGTGAAAATTTCATATAAAATTTTATGTGCGTGATATTCTTGGAAACAGTTTACTGTTTTTCCTGAAACTGACGCACGTATCTTAATTCAGAGGTTATTAAACATTTTAAATGTTGAAATTTGAGTCTTTTAGCTGGTTAAAAGGTTCGTGTTTAATATTCAAGTCCAACTTTAAGGTGTTCCCCTAAAACTTACGCACAGATCAAAATATAATAAAAAAACATTTTAGTTTGGCTAATTGTGAACTTTAAAAACCACAAAAACCACTTTAATCTTCCCAAAATGCCTCCAAAGCAGCTCATCATTCTCCAACATTCCAGCTAAATCTTAACCTTTTAATCTCGTAATAATGAGCTTCAATGTAAACTCACTTCTTTTAACTTCTAATGTATAAAAAAAAATCTGAAATACAATAAAGAAGCTCAAGCAAATTGAATTAAATGTTTTCAATTTTCTTCTTTTCTTCAACTACAATCTCGAAAAATAAGATAAAGAAAGCCAAAGAAGAAAAATAAAAATTGAGACAGAACCAAACAAAAAGCAGAGCTTAAAAGAACTTTTTTTTGTGTGTAAATGAATTTTTTTTTATTTCTTTGAATTTCAATTTAATTCAATTGTTAAATGGTCAGAATTTTTTTTTTGTAATTCTTGAGGTGATTAAATAAATGATTCAAATGGCTTAAGTGAAATTAAGTCGAATTATGGGAAGTTTTTTTGTTGTTGTTGAGAGAATGTGGAGTCAGGATTGGATGTGTTGACTTTTGGGTTTTTTTTTTGAAAAATTTATTTGAGATTTTAAGCAATTTAATTGAATTTTTTGATGGTAGACAGACAGATTTTAGGTTAGGAATGGATTTTTGTATTGTCAAACATTCAAGACGGTCAAGTCTAATAGTTTTGAAGTTCAACTAAGATTAACTGCATTCAAATCGACACATTTGGTTCCACCCTCCCCTCAATTATCAGCTGCACCCCCTGAAAAGTCACGTTAATCCTCAAAAATGTCGCAATGGACAATTTTACAAAATTTCTTAAATGCTCCATTGTCGAAAATGTTTAATATTATTGTCATCCGCCAAAGTCCAACGAGGGAGGTTGGAAAGCTATTCAGGAGCTGATCGTCTGCTACTATGTGTACCATATCAAACTTCCATTCTGTCTGTGAAAGAATTGAGAATTTGGATATGATTGAATGCATTTGAATGGAAGCAATGATGCCAGCTTCGGGAGACAAATTTTGCTGATTCTTTGTGGTTGTCCTAATGCTGGCATGCAAATTCATTTATGTCAATATATGGCCGATAATGTGGCACCAGGACGGCATTAGTTTGGCACTACACAAGATTTTTCCATTTTTTTTTACAAATCCAGTGTGGTGACACGTTCATGCCATCCTGGTTCCAGTTTTAGAGCCATTTCTACTCCGTGTGCCTTTTCAAGGTTGTAATGAAGCAGCCAACGAAGCCATTTTAAGCCAGTGCCAAAGATGAGCATTCCGACAGCCGCAAAGAGCTAACAAAATTGTATCCCAAAGCTTGTAGCTCCCAAAACAACAACTTACCCCAGGCATCACCGGACAACTCGGAAAACTTCTCGTTTGATTGAAAAAAGGCTCAGTTGGACTATGAAATGCAACACACATGTCCACATACTGCCTATCGAACAGCTGAACTATCCATTTGCCTCGAACATATTGTTCGGTATAGACTCGTCCTGGCAAACGAGCGAAACCTGTCATAAATTTCACACTTCCATTCAAAAATGTGTGCGTGTCGTTTTCGTGATAAATTTTAAAGTTTGAATAATCAACTGATTCAATTTTGTTGTACTTGGGGATGTCCTCACATTCGTAGATCTCTGTGGATGTTTTTAATTGAAGGTTGTTCATAAAAATGAGATTTCAGAGCAAATGAGACTAATCCTGCTGCCTTAGCCCCTTAATAAGATTTTGTATTATCACTTACTATCACCAACGATTCCTGCAACCCTAGCTGTGACTAGTTTAGATCCAAAACAATTAAATACTATTAGAATTGAACATAATTTAAATTTCATTTTTTTCTAATTGTCTAAAGACTCAATCAAACGGTTCTGTAACTCTGATGATTCAAATTTGACTAATTTAAACAAACTGAATTGAAAAATAAAAAAAAGTAATTAAAGATCGTCAATTAAATTGATCGCAAAAAAACATTTTTTTATTGTTTATTTGATTTATTTGAATGAAAAAAGATTGTGAAATGCAAAATTAAAATTGCAAAAGTGTAATTTACTATTTACTTACTCATTTCGCTGGCGATAAAGATCTAATTTGATCCATTGCCTTCCCTAGATAAGCTTTCCATCGGTTGCTGTCGATTTTTGGTAAAAAAGCGAAATATGTCCTAATTACAGCTCTGAAAAAAGCGGTACAGACCAAGTTTTTAAACATTTTCAAAGAAAAATAGGACATTAAGGTTTTTAGGCAGGATTTTGTTCAAAAAAGTGGGAATAACCCGCTCAAAAGAGTGCAGATGGATAGCTTATGTTGAGATGGTGCTTGAAGATGGTTTAATCATTGACCGAAGCTTGAATAATGTCACTAGTCTTGATAAATAACTTAAACATGATTTAATTACCAATTGAGCATCTCCAGTCAATCAGAACTACGATTGAGCATCACTACCGTAGAGAACAATGCTTTGGTATGCCAAATAGATTTTCAACTATCAAAATTAGCCTAATCTTAACACAGCAACAAAATCTTTTGAAAAAAATTTTTTGTGCGCTATATTCAGGGAACACAGTAATGTTTATTTCTGAAAATGGCGCACATATAATTTTTTATCAAATACAATTTTATTGTGAAGAGTTTAGAAATTTTGTGCGCTATAATCTATAATAAACATTACAGTGTACTCAAAATACAGCGCACGAATTATTGAAATAAGCAGAATTAAGAAACAAAAATTCAAATTAATTTCTAAGCAAATGTTCCAATGCATTGCATGCGATGCCAAGAATTTCTCCCATTATTCTCCAAAAACTCACCACACAACAAATGTTTTTATTTTTATTTTAAAAGATCACACGATTAATGTTCACATTTAACAAAAAAAAATATTTTTTAAATACATTCAATTTAATCCACTATTTTTGTGTACATTTTTCTTTTTCTTCTTTTTTTTTTATTTCTATTATTATTTATTTAATGTTATTCATGAAGATAAATTGAAGGGAATTTTTGTGGTTTTCAAGAACAAGAGGAACAGAAATTCAATGTCGAAGATAAAAACAGACAAAAATTAAAGTTTTGGAAACAATCGAAGGAAATTTTCAGTAATTAATTTGATAAATTGTTGATAATTTTTTACGATCTTGTGAATATTTTTGATATTTTAAGAGAATTGGATGAGATGATAATCTGTTGATATTTTTGGAGGTCTTGATTTGTAGTTTTGGAGGTTACTAGGATCATGTTTTTGGTATTGAATGATGAGATGTTGATGATTTTGATCAGATAAGGTGTCAAGATTTTACACTTTGGATTGAAATGTCATAAATTATTTGTGAGAGTTTTTTAATTTTTTTTAAGGTTTTTTTTCAAAAGTTTTTATTTTTTAAATCTTCTTATTTTTTAAATCTTTTTAAATTTTTTTAAACTAATTTTAATTTTTTTAAACTTTTTTTTTATTTTTTTAAATTTTTTTATTTCTTTGAATTTCTTAATTTTATTCTTAAGTTTTATAGTTTTTTTTTGAAACATCTGAATTAAAAAATCAAATTTTTTAACATTCCAGGTATTAAATATCTTATACCGAAGAGTCAAGAACATTGATTTTAATAACATTAGAATAATTCAAAAATTATAAAAGAAATAAGAACAGACGCACAAAAAAAATCATTAAAGCTACAAAACATAAACCTAATAATTATATTTCATTTATGTTTTTCAATTCCAAATCCACTTATTAGGCGCGATAATAAAAAGTAAAAGAAAAGTTAAACCTTTTGCGATGTTATAGACAAATACGCATGGATGTTGTTTTGTGGATTCAGAGTTGAAATTCTTTTATCAAAAACTTATTTAAAAAAGTTCAAGAAAGTTCAAAAAACTTTAAATCTGGGAATGGTGATCGACAAGAGAGTGACATTAAAGCCGCATGTGGAGTATGTGACCAATAGGGCTCACACCGCATTAAGACAGCTTTATCCGATCATCAGCAGGAACTCACAACTCGACGTACGAAACAAACTTCTCATCTACAAGCTAGCCATCAGACCAATATTCACATATGGTTGTCCAGCATTTGGAAGCATGGCAAAAACCCACCTTCAAAAACTTCAAGTACTGCAAAACAAATTCTTGAGAATTGTTCTCAATAAAACAAGATATGAAAGGATCACCGATCTTCATACAGAAGCGAAAATACCGTCCATCGAAGACTACGTCGGAAAGTTGCAAGCGAACTTCAACAGTCGTCTTGCATCTCAAAACACCGAATAAATCAAATGAAATACAAAAGAAGGCAAAATCCGTAAATGAAATCAAAACTAAGAGACAAAAGGCAAATTGAATGCCTGAAACCTTAAAAAACAAAAAGCAACAAAATGTATAGAAACTTTGTACATACTTAAGCTTAAATGTAAATAAAACAAAAAACTTTAAAAATCCAAAACATAAATGAAAAAATAAATGAAATTCAAATAAAGTTTGTAGAAGTCAAAGAAACTCAAAAACTTAAAAACTTATTGAAAAAAAGGGGGGGAAAATAAAAAATTCAAAAAAAAAAAAATAAAAAGTTTCAAAAAGCTTCAAAAAATCCAGAAAAATTTCAAAACATCAAAAAAAGGCCAAAAAATGAAAAAAGCCACAAAAATTCAAAAAATCCAAAAAAGTTCAAAACATCAAAAAAGGTCCAAAAAATGTAAAAAAATTAAAAAGATAAAAAAATTCAAAAAAAGGTAAAAAAATTCAAAGAAAATCAAAAAATCCAAAAATTCACAAAATCCAAAAAAGTTCAAAAAATAAAAAAAGGTTCAAAAATTCAAAAAATCAATAAACATTGAAAAATTATATTTTTTAAAAAATATTGAGTAAAAGTTTAAATAAATTTGGTGCTCACCACCTCTGCCTCCCAGACCAGATAAACACACGCACATTAATAGACATACACAACAAAAAGTAATTATTCTTCATCTTCTTCATCCATTCCAACTCAACTCATCATTCAAAATTCCTTCAAAAAACGATCAAACAGAAAAGAAAAGAAGGCATGCGAAAGAGGTACGAGCTATCGCTTTTTGAGCAAGGTTTGAAATGTGATGAGAGGGAGGAGAAAGATTATAAGATTTATGATGTGTAATTAATAGTTCTCGTTTTCATGCATCGAGCCCTACTATTATAAAAACATTCAACTTTGAGCTGAGAAAGAAATAATTTTTTTTTTTGGATGGACTTGAAAAGACTTTTTTCTGGGCTGAACTGGCGCGCGAGTTGAATGATGAAAAGAAATTAACTTTTTTTCTTGTTTCTAATGTTTTTTCATAATTTTGGAGATGAGACGGGATTTATTGATGTATTTTTTGAGGAATTGTTTGAGGGCTTAGCTATTTTGAAGGGTTATTCACAAATGACATCCATTACTGAGTGGGATGTTCAGACTTACTTCTTCATTGGTCACGAAATGGTCATGAAATGCGTTTACATCAGGGCAAGAGAGTCAAACATGTCCAGGACACCCCTCACCTGCACCTTAAAAGCTAGACATCATTTATAAACGACCCCATAACCTTAAAATAGTCAAATATCATCAAAATCTTAACAAAAACTTATTAAACATTTGAAAAATTTCATGAAGCCGGTTCCCTTTACAGCTCTTTCTACATCCAACATTTCTCATAAAATTCAACAATTGATAAAGCTTTCTTGGGATTTACTCACCCAAAAAAAAAAGGATTAATGAATAAAAATTAATTAATTTTGGGTCGACATACCCAAAAGTTTATGACTTATTAAGAATTTTTTCAGGCACGTGCTTGCCTTTGACATTTATGAGTATCGATTTTTGGCTTTTATTGAACGAAAAATTTCAATGTCATAATCAGCACACAGTCACTAATTGACCTATAAACTATTACACCACCTCGTCAGCATTGAAAAATCAACAAAAGATTGTTTTTTTAAAAACAAAAATAGACAATAAATCACAGACACTGAAATAAAGAGATAAAAATTCACTGAAGCATGTCAAGAGTTCAAAGTCAGCAACAGCAAGCAGCAGCGATCAGGAGAGGCATTTAATTTAAAAATCTCCATTCTGAATGTCATTGAATTAATTTTTTTTTATTTCTCTGCTAAATGTGAGCAATTAATTAGAACAAGTAGGGAAATTACTGTGGGTTTGGGTTTTAGAGCGCATTTTCGGAAGAAATAAGCTCAAAAATTTGACTTTTAACTTCAATCTTTAAAAAAATGTAATTTCAAAATTTAACCTGAAAGTTCAGAAACACAACCTCAAAGTTTAAAGTCTATCTTCAAAATCAGAAATCTAACCTCAACATTAGGAAGTCTAACCTCAAAATTAGGAAGTCTAACCTCAAAGTTCAGCAACCTAACCTAAGAATTCTGAATCTTAACCTCGAAATTTGGAAGTCTAACTTCAAAGTTCAGGAAGTCTAACCTCAAAATTAAGAAGTCTAACCTCAAAGTTCAGCAACCTAACCTTAAAATGAAGAAATATAACCTCAAAATTAGGAAGTCTAACGTCAAAATTAGGAAATCTAACCTAAAAAATTGAAAGTTTAACCTCAAAAATTTGAATTCAATTCTAAATTTTTTAAAAGTCTAACCTCAAAACAAGCCCCTCGCCCAAATTGCCATCCACAAAATCATCTTCTCAATTTATAGCTTCAAATTAATCCAGCTACAATCTAATCAAATGATGCCAAAGACCTTCCAATGACACACATTTTTTGTGTTACGTTGAACCGGTGTGTGCCTATCAATTTTTCAGACAATAACAATGAGCGAGCATTCATCAACAAAGTTGATAAAGAAACTTCTTGTTTTGCTT